ATTTTCCTTTAAAGAATATCTAAATGCAAGAATACAAATGCAATCTATTGCAGCTGTCCTTAGCCTGAAAAATGAAAACTAAAGCATCTACCACATCTAAGAACATTTTTGGCAAGGACAGTATTGATATTTCAGAAATAGTGTTCTTGTCCCTTCCTGTCCACTGAACTGAAAAACAAAAATCTTCCTTCCAAGTCTTCTTCTTTAAAGCCCAACTACAGGAACACAGCCCCACTGCAAGGGTTCACTGCTTGTTTATGTCTTGAGCAGGAGTCTCCAAACTTTCTAAACAAAGGGCCAGTTTACTGTTCCTCAGGCTTTAGGTGGGACAAACTGTGGCCAGTGGGAGTAAACAATGCCCCACCATCGGTTTACTTAGAAGGAATAGTGCCTCATTGTTGATATGAGTGGGAAGAATAATTCCCCACTGATGGTATCATTGGGAGGAACGGTGCCCCATTATTGGTTTTAGTGCCTCGTTGTTGTTATGAGTGGGAGGAATAATGCACTATCATTGGTGTCATTGGGAGGAATAGTGTCCTAAGGGCCAAATAAAGGCAAGCAAAGGGCCACATCTGGCCCCTGGGCAAGAGTTTGGAGACCACTGGTCTAGAGGAACAATAAATGGAGATCTAATTACCTGATCCTGCTTCTTCCAGCAGTGTGACTAGTCCCTACAGATTCTACAGCCCGCACTCTAGCAGGCTAGGGTCCTGATGTCATCAACACCAGAGTTGGGTTCATAATCCTGCTCTGGATGTGAGGACACTGAGGGACAGTCCACCGCCAGATCCTGGCATAGAACCATTTGCCAGGGGAACAGAGGATTAAGTAAAAAACAGTTTCTCCTCTGCCCTAGACAAACCAAGCTAATAACTCTTGCAGTGACCCACCTGCAAAGGGCAATTATTTTATCTGCCCGGAGTTGGGCTTTAAGCTAATAATTCCATCCCTATGATGAAATGGAAAGGAAGACGTGCTTGTAACCCAAAGTGAAGATAGCAGCCTACAGAGTGACAACAATGGCTCCTCCATAGATACAGTGAAGTGTGTGAGAATAGTCACCATATGACAGGATGTGTGGTATTCCCAGGATTACCAGTGAAAAGGTTTGGGGAGTGGGGGAAAAAACAAAAACGAATGCAACTACCACCTCAAGGTAATCATAAGCTGCAATATATGAAATTTGTTTTTGAATTTTGGTATACTTTAAGTAGAGATTCCAGCTACCCCCTGCTTCAGTAACCTTCACGGTGGGGTCCAGACTATGTCTCTTCTGCTATAAAAACTTCTCTTTCTTGAGATCAACTTTTTCCTAATTGCACACTGATGCACAGGGTGGAGGAAAAAAAAAAAAAAAACACATCCATGGTCAACTAATGAAGACAACTTCACGTCCAGAGGACAACTAGAAGTTAGCATCAGCAAAGAGAGGAAATGCGAACATTGCATTGCTGAAGAAGGGCACATTAAGAGATAAGTGTGCTATAAAGAGCAAGTATGCTTTGCTGTCATCTTCCTTTCCTCCTTTCAAGTCGACCTGGAACAAGAATATGCATATCACCTGTCAAAACAATTCATAGTGCAAATTCTTTTTGTCGCCAGCTCATTAAATAGTTAGGAAGGATAAGGGCCTGTGTCAATAGGAAAAGCCTGCTTTTAACATACATTTGAGATGCCGCCGAGATCATTCACAATTCATTTGTACAGCTGACCTCCTGCTGACTTTTATTTCACCTGATCCAAGCTGCCTCTGCATTTACATAGGCTTGTAGGGAAAGAGTGCCAGCACTGACGCTAACAAAAGCCCATTGACACAAAATCCTGACAGACTAAGTCTCGGAAGCTGCACTTTCAAACACAAGACAATGGCAGTTCCCATATGTCTAACCTGAAAAAGCTCATTTAGGCCGGATGTATATTTTTAGTTCAATAAACAAATGTAAGCAATAAAAAGGAAAGAGGGGCACAGCTACTCATGGACCTCTGCAGGAAAGTGGGATCCCATGTACCTGCACCACAGATGTAAACTGTTTATGCCAGGAAACCCCATCTAGTAGGTTCTCAAGGAAAAACCATTTTCAGTGATTACAGTCCTCAGCTCATAAAACGCAAGTACACCTAAATGTTAGGAGAAGAGCACCAGGTATTCATATTTGAAGTCTGAACTGCAATAAAAAATCCTGGCCATGGGATCCTACTTGAGAGAAGTGTTCAGGTAAAAAGTGGGCTTTAGCTTTGATTCAATGCACTTTTCCTGCCATTGAAGTCATGAAGCGCTTTGTAGCCTATACCAACCCTCACTAGGTGCTTCGTTTGAATGCCTATATATGCGACTAACGCTGGACACAGTGTGCAGCCTGAACCCTTACCAGAAAGTCAACTGTACTGAGCAGAACAGCTGTTAAAGACAGCACCACAGCCAAGCACAGAAAACAATGACTATAGTAGCACCTCCTCTAAAAACAAGTGTCTCTCAGCACTGCTGATTTCAGAGAAGAGATCCGGCTTCCTGCAGCCATTCAAAATAAAGATTAAAGCTAAACTGCAGACAGAAAAAAAAAAAAAAAAAAAATGATTATTGCGGCTCTGTAATCATTTAAGTTGTTCTAAAGGCAGAAGTTTCTTTTTAACTTAATTCATTCTATGCATTATTGTAAAAAAACAAAAAACAAAACCGTGTGTGTACAGCTGCCCCCAGCCCTACCTTATCCTTACCTGGGCCCCAGCTTGATCCAGCACTGTGCTCGAGAGCAGTGGCTCTCTCTGTCCTCACTGGCCAGAAAGCAGCAGCGGAAGCCATTAGCTACTGCTGCTGTCAATCACAGCCTGGGAGGAGGGGCAGGGCTGAGTCACACTCTGTCTATGAAAACACATAGCCGGGCTCAGGATTGAGCCTGCACAAGTGACCCCAGAGCAAGTGGCTTGCTATAGGAACACTGGTAAGGGGAGGAGCCAGGAGCGCCGACGGGGAACCCCAGAAGAGGATCGGGGCTGCTCTGTGCAAAACCATTGCAAATAGCAGGTAGTTATAACATGATTGTTATTTTACATTTTTCCCCCCTTTTTAATTAAATCATTAACTGTATTTTTTGTATTGCACCCAGTGTAGGCACCTAAATTTGACATTGGGATTAGTTTATTAACCCCTTGGCGCCTCCTGGCCCTTTAAGGGTTTCAGAAGCCAGGGCGGGGTTTTAGGGTCATGTGACCGCCATGATTCGTCGTCACATGATTGTGAAAGGTCCTGATCGAAAGAGGAGATTGGGACCTTTCCCTGAGTACCGGACGTGTGCTGGGAGCGCGTGCTCTCAGCACGTTTTTTTTTAATTGCACACAAATGTGCGTCCGCTCGGTGTCTAGGCCCAGACGCCGGGAGGCCGCACATTTGTGTGCGGTCAGCGTGAAGAGGTTAAAGGCAAATAGTCTGTACACTGCATGTGCAGTTCCTCTAGATTTGAGAAGAAGCTCTAAAATGAAGAGGAGCTTTGCCGATCTCTATCATCTAATCATGTGCAAGAAAAAAAATGCTGTTTTTTATTTTTCTTGCATGTGATTGGGTATTCTTTGCAATGTGAAGCTTTATCTCATATTTAGACACTATATTTGCCTTTAGTAAATCAACCCCAATGTATCAACCTTTTGCAATCCCCTACAGAGCAGCCCTCGAACTGGAAAAAGGAGGGGCAAGATGGGGAGCCAATTAAATGCAAATGAACCATGCCAATAGAAGGAGAGAGTAGAATGAGCAGAGAGAACCTATTTAGTCTCCTGCTACTCTCATTGTTCAGACAGCTGGCTTAGGTGGAGAAATGACACCGCTGTATTCCCTCAGTCTGAAACAGAGCAAGTGATGTCACCCACCTTTGTTGAGCTGTGTAAATCTCAGGACAGGATGTGCAGAAAGACAAATCCTTTAGCAGGCAAAACAGCTTCCATACATGTCACCTGTATATTTAGATGCTTGCCTGGAGTTCAGCAATAATGACCCAAGGGCTGTAAGTCACTGAACATTCCCATCTGTAAGCAGAAAGTTGAATTCTTCCTAAAGAACCTCTAAAATGCATAGCAGCTGTTACCAAATGTTAAATGTGCTGCGGATGTGTAACAAGAACAGAAACCCTATAGAACCAGCAACAGAAACTGCACTTTTAAAGCTGAAAAAATTGTCCTAAATGCACACCACTTTTACAAATTGGGAGCAAAAATATTACCAAAAGGCCAAAAAAAAGGAAGCTTGTGATTTAAGTTTTTTTTTTCCAGATGGTTATAAAAAACAGGGAGGGACAGCTACACAAAATAAAATAAAAATTACACATCTTTGTTGAAATACATCAGACTAGATTCAGCCTATACAAAAAAATCCTCTAAAATAATTTTGGTAGTAAAATAATACATTATAGGGGTCCGTCCAATCATTCTCAGATTGGACGGCGCACCTTCTGGGGATGTAACATGAAGTGTGAAAGAGGGGGGGAAAAAAAAAATATTTAATGCTTTAAAGGAAATTGTCAGTCTCAGACATTAGTATACAGTAGGGAGAGAAAAAAGACCCTATTGGTTCCTTCTTTGCCTTCCCAGCGTAGCTTGAAATGAGTCCGTCTGGGGAGCTCACCATTCTTGGCGTTACGTTACTCGTTAACTCGTTTTAAGCCTGGGTAATCGCAGACAATGGGTTAGTGCCTGTATTTCCCCCTGCCACTCTGCGGTGCTACCTGTAGGGGCAGACCGATAACACGGCCGTGATAATTTATAGGTTATAATAATGCATTGTGATCGTGAGTCAGCCAACCCCACTGGGGTGACACGGCTCTACGCTACAGTCGTTTCCCGAAACATTGTCTGAATGCGCTCCATTTTCATGACCCCTTATTACACCCTGCATGGAACAAGGGCACGTCACGTAGTTGTAGCCTGGCCAGTACGATGTTCGCTCAGACCCGCGCTCAGGGCACCAATCCTATAAGGTTGGCACTGCTACTTCGAGCCTGCCACCAGCATTAATGGTGTTGTCCTGCGCTGGTCTTCTCTGCCAGGTGCCGTAGGAAACTGTCGTCGGGCTGTCCCCGGTGGTTCAGTGCCTCGCTCTTGAACAAAGCTGGCGGTGGAGGCAGGTGTGGGACTGGCGGTACTGCCAGGTGGTGAGCGTGGGAGTGCGGATGCAGATGCAAGTGGGAAAATGGATGAGGGATTGGCCGTGGAGGCAAGGAACTCAGAGCGTTGAGGTTCAGAGGTGGCGTGGGACTGCTTGGCGGGACGTGGGCTGATTGGAGGTTGGTGACAATTTGTGAAGGGTTAAGAGCAATCTGTAAGGCTGGTGGAACACCCACTGGACTAGTGACCCGGAAGCACTTCTCCTTGTGAGCCTTCAGCATGTTGGAGAAGCGGAAGCGCATGCCGCACACGTCACATGGGTAAGGCTTTTCTCCTGTATGGGTCCTACGGTGACGTTTCATGTTTGGGCGGCTGGTGAAGCTCTTGCCACAGATTTCACAGATAAAAGGTTTCTCTCCTGCGAAAAAAAAGAAGACAAAAGTTAAGCCCCAATGCACTGGCTTGTTTAGGTGTCTGCTACTTCAGACATTAACAGGGTAGTGGTGAGCATTAACAAGCCTGTTCCAATGACCAAATGGTTATGCACTGTCGTCTTGTAAATCTCCTAGCTACTGCATTAGCCTACGGGTTTTTGATGTACCTCTATGGAAAAAATCTGCTCAGAATGACTATGCAACATTTCTGTATCTTGCCACATACTGTATTCTCCTTAAAGTGGAGTTTCACTCATCCTGCCAAAAAATAAAAGTCAGCAGCTACAAAAACTGTAGCTGCTGACTTTTAAAAAAACAGCCACTTACCTGTCCCTCGGTCCCGCGGTGTGTCCCCTGCAGCCCTTTTCACTGGCCGTCCTGTATTTCAGGTGCCGGCATCTTCATTGTGGGCACCCGGCTGTGATAGCTTGCGGCTTCACAGCCGGGTATCCACTGAGCATGTGCGAGTAGCGCTGCGCTTCATGAATGGTCCTGTAGTCTTCTGGGACCTGTCGCGTGTCCCAAAAGACTACAGGGAGGGAAGACACCTTCCGTTTCCGATCACCTAGGCCAGTGGTGGGCAACCTTTTTTTTCAACTGAGCCAAATCTCGCCAAAACCACGATTGAAATTTATTTTGAGAGCCACATTTTTAAAACTGAAAATTCATCCCCCATATAGTAATTCATCCCCCATAGTAATTCATCCCCCATATAGTAATTCACCCCCCCCCTATAGTAATTCATCCCCCATAGTAATTCATCCCCCATATAGTAATTCACCCCCCCTATAGTAATTCACCCCCCATAGCAATTCATCCCCCATATAGTAATTCATCCCCCATATAGTAATTCACCCCCCCCTATAGTAATTCATCCCCCATAGTAATTCATCCCCCCTATAGTAATTCATCCCCCCTATAGTAATTCATCCCCCCTATAGTAATTCATCCCCCATAGTAATTCATCCCCCATATAGTAATTCATCCCCCATATAGTAATTCATCCCCCATAGTAATTCATCCCCCATATAGTAATTCATCCCCCATAGTAATTCATCCCCCATAGTAATTCATCCCCCATATAGCAATTCATCCCCCCTGTAGTAATTCATCCCCCATAGTAATTCATTCCCCATATAGTAATTCATCCCCCCTATAGTAATTCATTCCCCATATTGTGTCAATTCACTTACCTTTGCTCCGCGCGTTCCTCTCGCTGTGTTCCCGCACCGTTCTGGTCTTCAGGGCGGACTGTGAGAGGAGAGGAGTTCGTCACGCTGCCCCGCCTACATCCTGGCTGCCCCGCCTACATCCTGACAGCTGCAGAGCCCTGACTTTTGGGGCGGCCACCCGATAGAAGGGAGGGGAGCGGGCGCCCGGCACACAGAAGAGCTGCATTTAAGTTTGTAAAGAGCCGCATGTGGCTCGCGAGCCGCGGCTTGCCGACCACTGACCTAGGCGATCAGACCGGAAGTGGGAGTGGGTACCTGTCAAAATCAGGTACCCGCCCCCCAAAGGTGACAATCCTTAATGGGGAGCAGTCTTTAACCATTAGCCGCCCGGCCAATGGCCGTTTGGCGGCTTCAAATGTGCTGCTGTATTCCGGGTGCACGCCATTTGGCGTGCTCCCGCACATGCGCAGTTTGCGCTAATGCAGAGCGGCGCAGCAGTGCGATCTGTCACCGGTCGTGTACCTCGGACACGGCCGATGACAGATCTGAGTACCGGCCCCCGTTGCAGGTACCATGTGACCTGCTGTGACCAATCACAGCAGGTCACATGACAGTTGTATACAATGGATGGCTTCATTCATGATGCCATCCATTCTATACTAGTGCCTAGCTGTGAATGGTCACAGCTAATCACATGCACATGTCATGTGATTAGCTGTGACCAAATCACAGCTAAGCACAAAAAAAAAAAAAAAAAAAAAGCTGAATGAATCGATTTCATTCAGGTAAATGCTTGCTTATAGCAAAGTAATTCTTTGCTATAAGCAAATTGGGTAAAAAAAAAAAAAACTGATCACTTCCCCCCAAAGTAGTACAATGTTACTATGGTAACATTGTACTACTTTGGTCATAGTAAAATATGAAAAAAAAATCTTAAAAAAAAAATAAAAAAATGTAATAAAAAATTAAAAATAATAAAAAAATTTAAAAATTAAAAAAAAATATATATATATATATATTTTTTCATACTGTCACCAGTGTCCCTGTTCACCCGGTCAGTTATATGATGACGTTGTACTGCACTGGTGACAGTATGTAAAAAAAAAGAAATGGTGAAAATAGATTTTTTAATTTTTTTCATTTTCTGAAAAATTATGACAAAAAAAATACAACTTCAAAAAACTCGCCATGCCTCTTATGAAGTACGTCAGACTGTCTACTCTGCAAAAAGGGGTCATTTGGGGGATATCTGTACTGTTCTGACATTCTTGGACCTCAAGAAATTAGATTGGCCGCCAGTACTTCAGGATTGATCAATATTCAGATCTATACCATAGTTTGTGAACTCTATAACTTTCCTACAAACTAAAAAATACATCCTAATTTGGGTTATTTTCACCAAAGACATGTAGCAGAACACATCTCGGCCTAAATTTATGAAGAACAATTATTTATTTGTAAACCTTTATAACAGAAACAAAGAAAAATGTGTTTTTTTTGTCAAAATTTTTGGTCTTTTTTTGTTAATTTAGCAAAAAATAAAAACCTCGGCGGTGATTAAATACCACCAAAAGAAAGCTCTAGTTGTGTGAAGAAAATGATAAAATTTTAGTTTGGGTACAGTGTTGTATGACCGCGCAATTGTCATTCAAAGTGTGAGAGCGCTGAAACCTGAAAAATGGCCTGGGCAGGAAGGTGTAAAATTGCCCGGTATTGAAATGGTTAAAGCGGAACTTCCCCTTTTGGGTGGAGCTCCGCTTTAAGCTTCAAATTCAGCACTGTCATTTCTGTTTCCTGCTTCCCTTCTCTACCAGCATATATCACTTCTGACAAGTTTTCCTAACATCAAGAGCTAAAAAGGTGACAAGGGCGGGAGCTCCAACACACAGCCTGTGATTGACAGCCTCAGTCCTGTTCCTGTGTGAAGGGAACTGTGTTCCGTACCTCCAATCATCTCTTACTGAGCTCTACAGAGTAGCTTCAGCAGCTTTCTGAAATCTCAAAGGCTGTACAAGTTGTGCCCTTTAAACTGATTTAGAGGATATGGGCTGCAGATGAACAGGTTTTGTTTCATCCCTGTGTATCACCTGAGGCCAGTCACTTCACTGGGTATATGTAAGGGTTTACAACCATTTTAAAGTTCATTGCAGATGCATTTGACCTGCAGTTAAACTTCTTCTGATCCGCATTTGACCTGCAGTTAAACTTCTGATCCGCATTTGATCTGCTTCTGTTTTCCATGATCATAGACTGTATGGGAAGTAAAGCAGATATAATGCACACAAAAGTCTCATGATTTTTCTTGCTTGCTGTTGTCCAATCCTTCTGCAGGCAGCAGAATAACCTCACTGTACCCAAATTCTTGTGTCCTCCAATGGAAAAGAAAGAAAAAAAATGTACTTGTGACCTGTTCTGCACACTTCCTGAGGAACAAACGGGGACAGGACATGAGGGCAATATTGCCCAGTAGGGACACAAACTGTAAAAAAAAAACCCCATAGAAATTGTACTCTTTAATCCATCTAAAACTGAAAAGTTCCAACTGTGATTCTCAAAATTACAAATAGGTAATTCTGAGTTAATCCTTTAGACAAATAAAATGCAAAAAAACAACCTTTCATAACATGATGAATCATCATTCTCAGTAAGTATCTAATACTTTTGCTTATTCATCCTGTTCCCCTTGAGGGAACATTAGGGCCAAACAGCAACCTGCAGAAGGAACATTACTCAGGCTAAAAAGCCCCGAGCTTACTCATGTACACAAGTACATCGTGTGAAAAGGGAAATGGCTGACCAAAGGCAAAGAATCCCAAATGTCTATGTGCGGTTTAAGGTAAGTAACATTTCAGACATAATTAATGCAAAATTCAAGACCCAAACCAAGTTGATTAATCTGCTATTTATATTTTTATACTTTGAAAAAAAAACCCCAGAAGTGCAGACTTAAAACAAATACTAATGCAAATTGACCCCAAAATAAGGCAGCCCATAGGGGATTCTCTTTGGTTTGTTCAACCAAGGGTTGACTTGATTCCCCCATTTACACATTCAATGTGGACAGAGGAAGCCACTTGCTGTGTCAATGTATTCTGACAGTGGGGAGACTTCCCTACCTTCAGAATACACTGATCAGCGCTGGCGGTGGTTGTACAGAAGTTGATCAGAAGAATCGACTTCTATAAAAGCAGACTGCCCATACATGGATTGAAATTTGTCTGGTCCCTGCTATACCGGCAAATTTCAATCTATGTATGGCCAGCTTAAGCTCATTTTAGTAGTCACAAGTGACATTAATAAGTATCCAGCAGCAACTTACTGCTCACACTATAGGATGCTTAGCCCCCTTTGTGATTACAATACATCTTTAGAATTCCAAATGTAAAATGTCACAACACAGACGAGCAAAATTTAGAGATGACCGACTGTGGGCAACTGAAGCTACCAGGAAGAGGAGCAAGAAGGAATAGTAAAATGATGACATTATATAAAAAAAAAAGGGTAGCAAAAGGCAATGTTTTCACTTTGGACTACGAGAAGAATAGTCTTCTTTAGCACATTAATATCAAGTTTTTTTAATTTGATTGTCAGATTTTTTTTTCGGATACAGTTCCACTTTAACACATACCATGGGCAGCACAGTGGCAAAATGGTTAGCACTTCCGCCTGGCAGCATTAGGGTTGTTGGTTCGTATCCCAACCACAGCACCACCTGCCTGGAGTTTGCATGTTCTCCCTGTGTCTGCGTGGGTTTCCTCCGGGTACTCCGGTTTCCTCCCACAATCCAAAGACATGCTGGCAGGTTAATTGGATCCTGTCTAAATTGGCCCTAGTATGTGTATGTATGAATGTGAGTTAGGGGACCTTAGATTGTACGCCCCTTGAGGGTTAGGGATTGTTGTGAATGTACAATATATATATGTAAAGCGCTGCATAAAATTTACAGCACTATATAAGTACCTGAAATAAATAAATACCAAAGCTGCTAAACTCAGTCTCTCTAAGCTTCAAAAACTGTTAAAGAGCATCGCTTCAGCCTCCGAACGCCTCTTTGGCATTCAACACTTCTGGAATCAGAAACAGACTTCATGAGGGTGGCCTGACATTCTCTAATGGACCCTGTGCTCACTGCCCGGCACCATAGAGCTGGATTGGCATTCACCATTGAACACCAGAATTGGCAGGTCCACCACTGGCACCCTGTGCTTTTCACAGATGAGAGCAGGTTCACCCTGAGCACATGTGACAGACATGAAAGGGTCTGGAGAAGCCGTGGAGAATGTTATACTGCCTGTAACATCGTTCAGCATGACCGTTTTGGTAGTGGGTCAGTGATGGTCTGGGGGGGCATATCCATGGAGGGATGTACAGACCTCTACATGCTAGACAATGGCACCCTGACTGCCATTAGGTATCGGGATGAAATCCTTGGACCCATTGTCAGACCCTACGCTGGAGCAGTGGGTCCTGGGTTCCTCACAATGCCCGGCCTCATGTGGGGAGAGTATGCAGGCAGTTTCTGGAGGATGAAGGAATTGATACCATTGAATGGCCCCCACGCTCGCCTGACCTAAATCCAATAGAACACCTCTGGGATATCATGTTTCATCCATCCAACACCGCCAGGTTGCACCTCAGACTGTCCAGGAGCTCAGTGATACCCTGGTCCAGATCTGGGAGGAAATACCCCAGGATACCATCCGTCATCTAATTAGGAGCATGCCCCCACGTTGTCAGGCATGCATACAAGCACGTGGGGGCCATATAAACCAAAATACAGTACCATTTTGAGTTGCTGAAATGAAATTTCAGCAAAATGGACGAGCCTGCTGCATAATTTTTTCACTTTGATTTTCCGGTGTCTTTCAATTCAGTCCTCTGTAGGTTGACATTTCCATCAAACGATGGGGCATCCTTACATTGTAAACACTTTACCCAGTCCATATTAGTAGAGATAACCAGCATGATATTTTTCCCCATTGAGATCTAATGTGTTTTCAAAGTGTTCCATATATATATATGTGTGTGTATGTATTTTTTAATGTCATAGGCAGGCAGAGGAAAATCTCACCAGTGTGTGTTTTCATGTGTTCATCAAAGTACTGCTTCATGTTGAAGTCCTTTCCGCACCACTGACACATGAACTGCTTGTGACCGATATGGATGCTCATGTGTGAACGCAGCTGATACTTGTACTGGAAACGCTCATCACAGTTCTGGGGACAGAAATGCACAGAGAATGTTAAGTCAGTCATAATGTTCTGTTAAGATTGCTTCTCTTCTGTAACACACGGAGGAGCAGCAGGTTTAGGGGGACACTGGTGATATGTCACCTGGTGGTATCCCATCTTGGGGATTTCGGCTGTATGATCCCCCTGCCTGCCACAGCTCAAGTGCCCCCTTTGGAGACACTCTCTTCCTATTACAAAAAAGATGTTTCCATCTGTTTCAGTCTGAATATGAAAAACAAAATATCCAACCGGGAAAAATAAGTTGAATCATAAAAATCTGACTGTTCTAATGATTTCAGGCTAGCTATATATATATATATATATATATATATATATATATATATATATATATATTAGGATGAAGATTCTCCAAGTGAACAGAGTCACAATTTTTCTGTCAGCAAACCCAGGGCTATGGGTTCCCCCATCACCTAGCTAACTGGCTCAATGTTGTCACATGGGTGGGTCACCTGATCCGTGACTCCCAGAGGTGTGGTGCTAGGTATTTTCTTAGGCTTCCATGGGGTTAAGAGTAGCATGTCTATGATGCTGGGAATGTGGGGAGGGTAAAGCAAATATGTTCCTTTTCCCCGAATGAGCAATGTGCAGGTCTGATCTAAATCTCACCACACACAACAATCTGACTGTCCAATCGCCTATAGTTCTGACAATTATGCAGTACAACAGTCTGCCTAACTGATCGGAGAGTTTACATGGATCCTCCTATTACAAAGTATAGGTAAATCTAATGTTGATTGTACAAAGATTGTAAAATTTGACTAATGTGTATTGTCAAGCTCACATATACTGAGACAACACTGGCATTATAGTTCAAGGACACTGAAAACTGCCCTCTGGCACCTGTGTGCATATGTGACCAGCAAGCTTCTCAGGGACCCTTCAAATTTTCTATTTTTGCGCAATGGGTTCACATACCGTATAACGGTCACCAGATGACAGTTATTTTTCTATCGATGGTTATCAACAATGTAGCCAAGGTAAAAGAATCCTGTTCAGAGTTCATATTCATTCAGTGGTTGGGAATGTGTCTATTCCTTCAATGGTAACACAGCTACTACAAACAGAAAGGTGTCAGCTGACATCTCACCTCACATCTGAATGGCTTCTCCCCCGAGTGCTGCAAAGAGTGCACCTTCAGTGACATACTCCTCTTAAATGACTTCCCGCACGTCTCACAAGTGAAAGGCATATCCTTCGTGTGAGCTGTAGAACAAGCAATTACAGAAAAACAGTTACAGACTTGCAACATACGCCATTAATCGAGAAAGACTTTGTAAACTGTAAAACCAGTAACCGGGGCCACATATCTAACTAAAGCTGGCCATACATGGATCTGGACTACATGGATGTGGCTTCACCTCACTTCTGTGGATTGGGTAGTCCTCCCCTCTATGCTACTGTATTCTGACAGCGAGGACTCTCCTCTGTCCGAATACAGTGATCAGAGCTGCAGCCGACTGTAGTGCTGATCCAACAAAACGTTCCCAATAAGCCCATTCATTAGACTTCTCATGAACAGGATCGGCCATAGGTGGAATGACATTAGGTTGGTCCATGCTGAGCCAGCCAAATTTTGATTTATGTGGCCAGCTTAAAGTAAAAGTTCATCCAAAACCTACTCACAGCCACATTCTAAAACTAATCTATCTAGCCCTGTAAAGAAGAAATCGCTATACTTACCTTTTCTGAAGCTGATCTGGTCAGGTCTTCAGTGGAAGATGCGATGTGCAGGAGAGAGCGGACAATGGCTGGGAAATGCCTGGGAAGTGACGTGACCCATACACTTACTATGGGGCTTCCGTTGTCAGCTGCCTCTCCTGCACATTGCAGCCACCGCTGACAGCACAGTGTGGGAACGGACCGGCTGCAGAACAGGTATGAATAGTGATTTCTTCTTTACTAGATACATTAGTTTTAGGATGTGGCTGCGAGTAAGTTCAATATACATTTAGAGAAAAGCCATAAAAAAAAAAAAAAAGTTTACTTTACTTTATGGAATATTAAATCATATACTTCATGCTGAGGGGAAAGCATATTTATGTTATTTCGAAGCCGAGAGCTTAGATCTGCAGTATCATCTCACACTAAGACGTTTAGTCCAATAATCTGATCTTTTAGGGAATACGAAAGGGAGCCGCACGCTATTGGATCCTTGAGGTGCTGAATACTATTGCGGGTCACTGTAGTGGCCTGCCTGGTGCCACCCTGTGATACAGACTGCTAAGAGGAGATTAAAGAGGAATTCCAAGCATGGTATTTAATACTCACATTGGTCCAGCTTGGACCAATGTAGCTATGTATATACCATACCTGGCCAATGCCCCTGGTAGCTGGAACTGACTAGACAATGCTACTCCAGGGTTCTCCACTAGCTTCTGGGTCCTGTGCTGAGCAGTTGACCAGCAACCTTCTGAACACAGAAAGTGGGTCGCTCAGCATGGGCACCATTCAGAGAATGCTTTGCATTTCCTGAATGAATGCAAAGCATTCTCTAACTGAATGAGGTGGAAGGGCAGGAGGGTGATGTCACTACTTTCAAAAATGCACTGCACTGGATCGCATGGTACTGCAGTACCATGCAATCTGGTGCAAGCAAATGAACTGCATTTGCAATCTGAGTTTTGGGGTGTTGTGAGGAATACATTGACATCCGCAGATTGTACACCCAGTGCACTTTGAATGCAGTGCCCCCACTCTGGTGTGAACGTGTCCTTAAAGTTTATATACGGCCTGAAGGGAAGCAGGCTTCATACGGCAGCACAGTGGCTAAATGGTTAGCACTTCCGCCTGGCAGTAATCGGGTCGTTGGCTCGAATCCCAACCACGGCACCACCTGCCTGGAGTTTGCATGTTCTCCCTGTGCCTGCGTGGGTTTCCTCCAGGTACTCCAGTTTCCTCTCACAATCCAAAGACATGCTGGTAGGTGAATTGGCTTCTGTCTAAATTGGCCCTAGTATGTCTATGTATGAATGTGAGTTAGGGACCTTAGATTGTACGCCCCTTGAGGGTTAGGGACTGATGTGGATGTACAACATATATGTAAAGCGCTGCATAAATTGATGGCGTTTTACAAGTACCTGAAATAAATACTAACCAATCAATATCTATAAAAAGCAGGCATCTAGATGGGGCATGGCTTTATTTCATAGACCCTGCATAGTGCCCTGGGAGCCACCCACAGCTGACCTCTCCCTGCTTTGATAAAAGGGGCATATCCTTAAAACTACACAGCAAGTGTAATGAGTCTTGAGGTGTACAAGACCATCACCACAAGCAATGATTTCTTTATTTTATTATGAGTGATGGTACTTCTAAAGCAATGTGCTGATTGTTTTCTGGATTTTCTGGGAAATACTTGGGTGTTGTTCTTTTAGTATACACCCAACTCTATGAAAACCCTCTGTGAAATATCTCCATCTAGTGGTTGAAAAGAAAAATGTAAGTACTGGATTTTTTCTTTAAAGCAGTTTCAAAAGGTTCATTTTTTTGTAAAAAATAACAAACATATCTATACTTACCTACTGTTTGCAGTGGTTTTGCACAGAGCAGCCTGGATCCTCCTCTTCTCGGGTCCCCCACAGGCTCTTCTGGCTCCTCCTGTCTGTCAGGTGCCCCCACAGCCAGCAGCTTGGTATCGGGGCACCTGCTGCTCCCTGTATCCATTTACACACAGAGCCGCAGATTGGCCCTGCCCACTCTATCATTGGCTGACTGGCTGTGATTCACAGCAGCAGGAGCCAATGGCTCCCACTTGCTGTCTCAGCCAATGAGGAGGCACAGACCCTGGGCAGCCAAGACAGTCATTCACATTGCTGAATCACGATGGGGCTGGAAGCACTGCTGCACACAGGTGATTTTTTACCTTCATGCATAGAATGCATGAAGGTAAAAGACCGTCAGCCGTTACAACCACTTTAAGGGTATGTAAACCCAAACAACTTCTCCGATTCCTTTTGCTCTGGTAAATATACAATTAAAAACTTTTCGTTATATCCGTTTGACATGTTGAAAAAATACACATTGATCTTGCTGGACACCTTGTTGGCCTGTGCTCTGCTCTTATCAATTATGTTGTTCCCCTGAGAACCAAGCTCCTCTGAGTTATAGACAACTGAAGTAGTCCTTGTAAAGATCTCGGATAAAAGTAAATCTATTGCAAACCACTTCCCCTAGCAGTTTAAAAGTAGCTTTAAGTGGATGTATATTCATGCCAGCTGCATAACTACAAATCTTCATTTCCATGCACCTATTTACCCCCGGGGTTTATGGGCAAACCCAAAGTGTGCCGGATTGGAGGAGCGGGGCCTAAGGAAAGTCATATTTACAAAGCAGGTCCGCCATTGTATTATGATTGGTGTAACGTGGACTCTGCTCAGCCCTTATTTGTGGTGGAAGACCACAGGGCAAACCTGGCCTGCACATCAATTTCCTTTTCTCAAACTGCCTTTGATTATAAAATGCTTTGCTGCTCAGGTTTTATTTTTTATTATTATTATTATACAGTATTTATAAAGCGCCGATAGTTCGCTCAGCGCTGTACATTACAAAGGGGGACAGAACATGTGACAGAACAATACCAATACAATGCAAAACATGAGGGGATTGAGGGCCCTGCTCTTTCGAGCTTACAATCTAGGAGGGAGGGGATGGTGGCACAGGAGGAGAAAGCTGTGGGGGATGGAGTGGTAGGAAGAGTGGAGGAGGTCGGCAAGTTAGCAGGGGGTGGGGTAGGCTTCCCTGAAGAGATGGGTTTTCAGGGTGTGCCTAAAGGAGCGGAGAGTAGGTGATAATCTGATGGGTTGGGGCAGGGAGTTCCAGAGGATGGGTGACACCCTGGAGAAGTCCTGGAGGCGGGCATGGGAGGAGGAGACCAGGGAACTAAAAATGCAAGTGTGGGCTGGTGGACTCTGCAAAGCAGCTTTACCACACAATGGATGCTTGAATGGGTGAAAGAAGGTCTGCTTCTGTTGTTTCCATATTTACCTTTATAGTTGAACTCCAGCAAAAAACTAATTTTAGATCCCTAAATGCCATACTTATATATCCAAGTTTATTATTTTTTTGCAAGCAACTTCTGTGTGCACTTGTGAAAAAGCCCTCTGTCTCCTCAAAAAAACTCTAGTCATGGTAGACTATAGGAGAAAACACTAGAAGTTTTGCATCCTTAGCCATGTTCTCCCCATTCTTCCTGCTGATTAAATAATGAAGGAGCAGCATAATAATGAGCTCATTCCTGTCCTCTCCCTTCCTGCAAACATGTTTAGTTAACCACCTCCTGCCTGCCATATAAGGTAATGACGGGCGCAAGGCGGTTCTCTCGTTCTGGGAGGACGTCATATGACGTCCTCCCATTCTAACCGCGCATGCGCAGCACCGGGAGCGCACAGCACGGCGATCGGTGGCGCGCTGTGTCCCTTGGACAGTGCCAGTCAGTGCCACCTATCAGTGCCATATATGAGTGCTGCCTTTCAGTGCCCATCAGTGATGCCTCTCAATGCCCATCAGTGCCTCCTCACCATGCCCATCACTTCAGCCTCATTAGCGCACATCAGTGAAGGAGAAAAATCACTTATTTACAAAATCTTATAACAAAAACTAAGAAAAAACTTTTTTTTCAAAATTTTCAGTGGTTTTTGGTTTGTTTAGCAAAAAATGAAAAACCCAGAGGTGATTAAATACCACCAAAAGAAAGCTCCATCTGTCACAAAAAATGATACAAATTTCATATGGGTACAGTGTTGCATGACCATGCAATTGTCATTCAAAGTGCGACAGCGCTGAAAGCTGAACATTGGCCTGGGCAGGAAGGGGGTATAAGTGCCCAGTAGGCGAGGGGTTAAACATCCCATTCACACTTGTCCATTGCAGCAATGCACACTAAAACATACATGGTGATACACAAAGCCAAGGGAGTGACACTGTAGAGACACACCAGTGTCTATTGCCCTCTTTAGCGATTCTGTCGCTAGTAAACGTTTGCTAGCATAACATAGGGCTGTGCAAAGAAAAAAGAGTTCTGATTGGCTCAAAATACTTTCCTGGCCAAGGGCTGCTGCGAAGAAAGTACAATTGAAAGTTGTATCAAAAATTAGATTTACTGCTTTATCAAACTGAATAAAATATTGATTTAAACAATTAGCCTCAAAATTAGCTTTAAAGGGTGGGTGGGCGGGGAGTTAAATCTTCTCTCAAAAGATCTCCTGGCCCCGCTGCTATCTGGTGACAGGGTTTCACCCATTTAAAATGGCTGTAAAACTCAGGCATGAGCAAAGCATATCCCTCTATAGTGTGTATTTGTCTCAAGCCAGTGTACTGTGTCATTTCCGTATGCTGTCTCATTGTGCTGCTATAGGCATGAGTCACTTTGAATGGGTTTTCCTGTCACCAAAAGAAAAATGGTGACGGGAGGGACCTCTAGCAGATTAATCAAATAAACAGCACAATACCCAACAAATAATACATAAAAAGAAAAATACTAGTATAAAAATTTTTTTAAAAAAATTTAGAAGTGTCCAAAAATAAATGTGTCCAACAAACAAAAAAAGATATATAATAAATTTCACATAATATCCAAATAAAATGAAAAACACATAATGTGATTTAAAGTGTCCCAAAATTAATGTGTCCATCAAAAAATCAAAAATCATCAAAATATATAGATAACATTATGAAACTTTAGCCTTTTTCTTCAACTTCAAAGTGCTTCACCAAAAACAAATAAATTTATAATGTGATTATCCTTCTGTCATAAGTGCTTCCACCATCCACCAGTGAGAAACCAACATTAATCGCATTCACCAGATATTGGCGAATAGTAAGCCTTTTAGGGATCCTACACCCCCCCCCTCTTAACGCCTCCAGACCTCCATTCCACTTTAAATCACATTATGAGTTTTTCATTTTATTTGGATATTATGTGAAATTTATTATATATCTTTTTTGTTTGTTGGACACATTTATTTTTGGACACTTCTAAATTTTTAAACGTTTTTTATACTATTATTTTTCTTTTTATGTATTATTTGTTGGGTATTGCGCTGTTTATTTTGATTAATTTGATGATTTAGTGTTTACACTAGTGCACAGCAGCATCCTATATATATATATATATTTTTTTAGTAGGAGGGGTTTGGTCTGTGGCGCAGGAGTATATATTTATAAACCTCTAGCAGATTGACAACCTCAGATCTGTCCCTGTGTGAAGGGGGGTGGGTCCCCTTCCCTCCAATCAGCTCTCAGAGCTCTCCTCCCTGATGTAACTTCATTCTGTGAAAATTCTGCACTCTAAAAAAAAAAAAAAAAAAAAAAAAAGGGGGGGAAAGACAACTGTAGATAAACAGGTACAGCTTATATAGGAGGATTGGTTTCATCTGTGTGTGTCACCTGAGGCCAGTCACTTTCCTATGTACAGGTAAGGGTTTACGACCACTTTAAATGACTTTCTGGAGATCAAAGTGAACAGGCAGCTCACAGACAACTTACCAACCAGATGTTTTCGGACATGGGCCATTGTGTAGAATTTCTTCTCGCAGATTTCACAAGAAAACTTCTTTTCAGCATAGCCATGGACGATCTTAATATGCTCGTGGAGGGACCAGAGCTTCTTAAATGTCTTGTTGCATGTGATACACTGTAGATAAAAGCAGAGGAATCAGCCTTTCCAGGTTCAAAGTCAGGAAACATGCAGCAAATACTACGACACAAAACATTTAAAAACAAAAACGCACTTTGCTCACAGTGCCAATGGACTGCAGACGTGAAAAATGTTATTAACACCTTATTAATAATGTTGCAAAATAGACATTTTTTCACCAAATGTGATCACATCAGCCCCGCTCTCTACATTACAGGACTACCCACCACTGGGAGACCATCAGGAGTACCATGTGTGTCACATGATTGGCATGAAGCCTTTGGAAAAGACTATGTATGAAAAGAAAGGTAAGGGGGGGGTAAGGCTGAATTCAGGCTTTCATTTTCTTCATCAGTTTCCTTAGTAAGTAGTAACATTTTTTTGCAGAGGTTAACTTGAATTTGAAGACTGGCCTTTAAAACACTATAAATGGATTTTGTTAGATAACGGTCAAGAAACCTATTATTGGCATAGGTACGACGACGGGCGGCACAGTGGCTTAGTGGGTAGCACGTCTGCCTTGCAGTAAATGGGTCATGAGTTCGATTCTTGACCATGGCGCCTCCTGCATGGAGTTTGCATGTTTTCCCTGTGCTTGCGTGGGTTTCCTCCGGGTGCTCCGGTTTCCTCCCACACTCCAAAGACATGCTGGTAGGTTAATTGGCTCCTGTCTAAATTGGCCCTAGTATGTGTATGTATGAATGTGAGTTAGGGACCTTAGATTGTACGCCCCTTCAGGGTTAGGGACTGATGTGAATGTTCAATATATATGTAAAGCGCTGTGTAAAATTGACAGCGCTAAATAAGTACCTGAAATAAATAAATCCCATATCACTGACAGAACCAAACTACCTGGAGAAGACAAATTCACCTGGAAGAGAAATGCATATAGGGATTTCTAATGTTTCACCTTTCCTTCCCTTGATTTTCATGACAGGTTTACTTTAACCACTTCCTGTTCAGCCCATGTAGATAAACGCCGTCACGTTTAGGGTCGTGACGTCAGGACGCATAACCGGAAGGAGCAACGCCGCCATCTTTGTTGTCTGTTTGGACTGATGGAACAGGATGGACGTGTTGTCAATGTAAGCTGCTAATAAAATTTGTATTTTACTTGTACACTCCACTAAATCTTGTCCTCTCTGCCTTACGAGGAGCGGGGAAGACTCCTTTGGATTGACTCACAAGGGGAAAGGTGTATATTGGATATACCCTTTGGATTCTGGAATGTTGGAAACGTTTTTTTTTGAGACTGCAAGAGGGTAATAGTATAATATCCTACTAGTGTGGTGGCACGTGTTTGGAATGGTGCACTAATCACAGTTGGAGTGTTTTTGAGAATTTCACTTGGTTAGAGTGATGATATTTTTAATACTGTGTATTATCACTAGTCCAGTTGCTGTGAATTGTACCCACTTCACGAGTGGGGGTGTATAGGGGGATCTTCTCTATTCACTTTACTTATTTGTATATGATAGTCACATTGAAATTTTTTTTTTTCCTCTTTTTTCTCCACGAGTGTTTGCATGGTATCACAGAAAATCATTTGAGAGGTAATGCACTATATTTCGTTTATATTTTTTTGAGGTATCTTGGATTTAGAATAACAAATTGAACATCTCATCACATTTGGAAGATTGAATAGTGTGGACATTGGACGTTTGGACTTTGATTTTGAACTTTATTTGGGACATTTGGGAATACTTTGAATGATATGTTTGAATTATATTTGTAAATTTGGAAGTAAAGGAAGGGTTTTAGGGTTGGGGGTGAAGAGTATTAGAAAAGGTTTTTGATATTGTGCACTTTCAAGGGTGAAAGTTTACTTTTCTTGGGAGATATACAGAGATTTTAGTTGATACATGTAGATAAACGGCCAGACGGGAATGCTGCTGAAGCGGGTTGATGTTTCTAAACTCCACTCCGCATTCACTGCCTGTGCACGCTCCCTGGGAGCACGCAGCACCACGATCGGTGCCCGCTGTGTCCGGAGGAACACCAGTCGCTGTACGGGACCTCTGTGTGAGGTCCCGATCATGTGATCACTGATTAACCAATCAGTGATCACATGAATAGTAGTAAACAAGATGGTACTTCCTGACATCATTGCTTACTACGTGTGAAATCTGTGAATGATCACATGGTACAAGGCTATTCACAACAGCCTTGTGCCATGTGGCAAGCTGTGACCAATCACAGCTCTCACAGAATTTCTCAATGGCTGCAAGAATGCAGTCAGATAGAAGGAGAAATTGCTTTTACACCCTTTATGGGTATATAAAAAAAAAATCATCATCACCCCCCACAAGTAGTACAGTGTCACTATGGTGACACTGTACTGCTAGGGTGACAGTGTGTTTAAAAAAACAAACCCACAAATAATAATATAAAAAAAAAAAAAAAATGTAAAAACATTTTGAAAAATTAAAAAGTTAAAAACTAATTTGGGTTATTTTTTTTACTAAAAAGATAGCTGGATACATTTTGGCCAAGATTTATCAAGAAAGATTATTTGCAAAAAAGAAAAACACTTTTCTTCAAAATTTTTGGACTTTTTCATTTATATAGCAAAATAAATTAAACATCCTAGCGGTGAATAAATACCACTAAAATAAAATTTTATCTGACTCAAAAAAAATGCTAAAAAATTCATATGGGTGCAGTGTTGCATGATCGCAAAATTGTCATTCAAAGTGTGATAGCGCTGAAAGCTGAAAATTGTCCTGGACAGGAAGGGGGTGAAAGTGTCTGAACTTGAAGTGGTTAATACCACTACTGAAGTACAGCACTTGGCAGTGCCGACCAAAACTGTTCTTAATTCATCAAATCATTCTTTTAAAGTCTTTAAGAGACACTGGATCCTTTTCCAGAAGTCAAGGCCCTGTGTGTATAGCCTGGGCCTTGGAATCCAGGGGCTCTGCAAAGACAGGTATTGATTTAAAGATTAAAGCAGCCACTGCACTTCGCAGTATTGGTAGCTAAAGCACAGATATTGATCTGAAAACTTAAAACGGGTTCAATTTAACCCCAAATGACCATGTGGTGATACAGATATGCTGCCTTTTTAGACATTTTAAAATGACACATCTGTACGCATGAAGAAGAGTGCAATTCTACTGTAACGGACACTTCTGAGACCAGGCTATTACTCACAGCCACACGAACAGTAAAGATGCTGGGAGGTGAATAAGTTAGCTCAAAGCTGGTGAATTTCATGTATTGTGTGTGTATATGTAGGGAGATCTTTTTCTTCCTTTCCTGTCCTGGATACACAACAAAGTAAGAGGAAATCTCCTTACAGTGGAACTTTAGTCAGAAAATTAAGTCCTGATAGATCATTACAGACTGGTCCCTTTTGCAGGTATAGTTATGTAAAATATTAAAAATAAGTGCCTACCCTGCTTAAAATCCAGTAAGGCACTGTCTCACCCTGCTCTGCACAGCCTCAGTTGTCCTGTATTCTCAGCACTGTGCCAGTAATCACTGAGTCAGCAGAGGCCTTGACTTCTGGAAAAGGATCCAGTGTCTCTAAAAGACTTTAAAAGAATGACAGCCTTAAGATTTACTGCAGGGAGGAAGAATTAGGAACGAAACAGACTGTGCCCATGAAACATGAATAAGGGAGGGAGAAATGAAAAAAAAAAAAAAAAAAAAAAAGGAGGTGACAGGACAAACTCTGCTGCCAGAGAGACACAAAAGAGTTACATTTACAAGGATAGGGTCTTATCTCATCTCCTTATCATTCTCTCCTTTCTCCCTTAGCAGCAGCTATCAGATTGAACGCGATCAAGCTTCTGTCAGTCTTCCCTTCTAGCTGAGCCAAGACAAATTCAAGGCTGGAAAAGCAAACAATTTAATAACAGAAAGCGACAGATTTTGAGACCAAGGAGAAGGGGAGAGTTTTCAAGAAGGAAGTGACTGCTCGGGGCTTCAATAAAATGGCAGCCTCCACCAAGAAGAAACAGGAACAATGCTGGAGGCAATTTACAGCACACACCAATTTTGGTAGCATAATATTAATGTGGAATGTATGTTCTTTTGTTAACAGTTTGATAACAATTTAAGTCCTTTATCAGTAAAGTATTGCTTCCAAGTCAGAGGAGCCACTTTTAGACAGTTGCCATCAGAGTAGGTGGCATTTAGGCTTGGACACTGGTAATTTTAATGGCATTAAAATTGGTAGATCTGCCTGTACCTCCTGACAACTGTAAAATTTTGGATTTCTCACAACTTTCTGCCCCGGTAACAATGGTGACCAGGGCAAAGAATTTGTGAATCTGCTCAGCAGGATGCCAGACTAACATTCTAACCCAGCAATGGGCAAACTACGGCCCGCGGGCCGTATACGGCCCGGCGGACCTTTTAATCCGGCCCGCGGGGCTGTCAGGATGTGTTTAGGCGGGGCAGCGTGACGAACGTGAGGGGAGCTAGGCTCCTCTCACAGTCCGCCCTGAAGACCGGAACGGCGCGGGATACATTGGCTGTCAGGATGTGTGTAGGCGGGGCAGCGTGACGAACGTGAGGGGAGCTAGGCTCCTCTCAGAGTCCGCCCTGAAGACCGGAACGGCGCGGGAACACGGCGAGAGGAACGCGCGGAGCAAAGGTAAGTGAATTGACACAGGGGGGACTTGGCTTACTACTTGGGGGGGAATAGTACTATGGGGGATGAATTAATATGGGGAATGAATTACTATAGGGGGGATGAATTACAATATGGGGGGATGAATTACTATATGGGGGGGATGAATTACTATATGGGGGATGAATTACTATATGGGGGATGAATTACTATATGGGGGATGAATTACAATATGGGGGATGAATTACTATATGGGGGATGAATTACTATATGGGGGATGAATTACTATGGGGGATGAATTACTATATGGGGGATGAATTACTATATGGGGATGAATTACTATAGGGGGGATGAATTACTATATGGGGGATGAATTACTATATGGGGGATGAATTACTATATGGGGGATGAATTACTA